CCCAGGAAGTCTGTTGAGCCCCATCTGATCCCAGGCCATGTTAGGTTGGTGGCAATGTCATGGGAACGAAAGTGCAAAGTCTTGCTTGAGGATTGTTCCCTCCAAAAAAAACAGCTTAAAGCTAGAAAACTGTGAAAGAAGCCGCGCATCTAAAGCACTAAGAAGCTCCCTGCGATGCCCCACCTGAGTGCAGGGACTCCAGCGCCCCCAAGCCCCAAGAACCTGAGATCAACTGTGCGGCGAATTGACAAGCTTAGCGCAGCGTAGGTTAGTAGTTGAAGGCTTGAACGAAGGTTGCCAGTTGAAAGAATATCCCAAATGAACGAGCAAGAACAAGAAAATGGCATGAAGCGAAAGTGAACATGGCAAGGGTGATGGGGAATAAGCTTCGGGTTCCAGGACAGCGCGGCGAGGATCAAGAAAGAATTCAAGACGTTCAGAGCAAAGGTTGTAGCGCTGCGAAAATTTGGTTGCCTCTCGGCTTTTCGGACTGGGGCTCTGAAGAAACACCAAGATATTTGCAAACTCTCATCTGCAAATTGTTTGGCTCAGATGTGAACACGCGTCACACGAGCGCAAGTAAGACGGCCAGCCCACAGACAACGAGGACAGGATGAGAGCATTCAAATACTTGCGCTATGTAGGGACGATTCCCTTGAATATGAAGTGGAAAGGACTGAGGTACTCTGGAACTTGGACCTGGAAACAAGATTCTACGCCTTTGTGGATTTGACTCGCGCCCCTCTTCTGAAACAGTGCCTCGTTGTGTGAAATCTCCTGGTATGAGCTTTGTCTGATGGCTTCCAGAGATGCCTGACTTCTGGCAAGGTTGTCTCGTTTATTGAGATCCAGAAGCAACAGACTCCTGAACGCTTTTAAGCAGACTGCCCCCTACAGTTCCTACGATCCTTTCCTGTATCCTACAATGGGAAGGAGACTGCCACGCTTGATTACCGCAGATGCAGGAAAAGCTTTCAACAAGACCCACAAAGCAAATAAGCCTTGTTGTAACCTCCTCTACGCCTTAACCCTTCCTATCTCCAGTTCCAAAATCCAATCCATCGAACAAGAACCCGACCAAAAAGCGGCTTGCCGCTGGGTGGCACAATCTGCGAAAGCCTCGCAGCTGTCGGGACCACAGGGCCCAAGCTCCTGGTGCCACGCTGCTAGGAGGGGATAATCGGACCTTTTGCCTGATGGCCAAAAAGACCAAACTTTCCGAGGTGTCAGGGTGGCCTGTTTGGGTTTCTCATGTCCCTGCCTGGTGTGCCTGGAACCCCAAGTTCAGTGTTTCGGGCTTAGGCCTCTCAACGTTTGTTACCCGATGACCTCGAGTCTGGCGCATTAATGCTTTGCTTTGGGAATTGTGGAATGAAGAAGCACTTGCCTCCAACTGCCGCCAACAATGGCACATCAGCAAAGTTTTGGTGAAGTCTGCCGTCAAGACTGGAAGAGTGAATGGTGCATGATCGGAATGGAAGGCAACACAGGGGCTTCTCAAAACAGCCCCCATTCACGGGGTGGGGAGGTTCTCTATTGGGAGAAACGTGATCACAATCCACGAGTCTGGTAAGGCTCCCATATTCCTGAGAAAAGCACCCAAAGACCTTACACAATATACCCCAGCAGCCCTTAGACACACTCTCACCAGCCTCGAGAGTGATCGCTTCCCGGATAAAGCAGTTGTCCGGGGAGCTTTCGTCAACCTGCCCCAATACCCCATGCAAAAGAAGGGAGCATTCCAGTTCAATGACGAATCAATCGGACAGCGGTTAAATGTGGAAGATGTTGGTCATGAAGTGGCAGCTGGAGGTGATATGTATATGTATGCACATACATCTCGTTGTCGAGGTCTTAGTGTTAGGGTTAGGGACTTCGGCTTCTAGAGAAACAGCCTCTGAACAAAAGATAAGACGACGTATAAGAGGCGCGCCCGATGAAACTGACAACGGAAGAATACACCGAGCAAAATGCCACTGATCTTTTCATTGGCCTCTTTGATGGGGCTTGGTTTTGGGTGGCGGCTGACAAGTTCCAAAACCCCATGAACGCGGCTGTTGGCTTGTGCCTGTTGGCCATAAACCTCGGCACATGCCCGTGGACCTCCTGAGATTCACAAGAGACGTCGCAGCCATGTCAATGATAGACCTAACAAGAAAGATGATCTACAAACCCTGACCCTAGCATCACTAAAATCCTATGCTTAACCAGGTGAAGCCCCCTCAGACCCTACACTGGCTGCTACTGCTTTCCTCTTCTTAACTACAGCACGAAGGAGTGGATCCCTCCAAATCTCGCAAGTAACCCACGCAACAACTCTATCCTTCTCCGGGCTTTCCAGAAACTAGAAGTTCCACTCTGGGAGTCCGTGTACTAAACATGAAAACGGTCTGGAGTATATGGGGCTGACCTTAATTGTTGGAAACACCCATTCCCTACTCCAGTGAGCTTGCCTGCCGCTTCCGGGAACGCTGTCCCTCACAGGTGGCGGTGCATGCGCCCCTGGGCAAGATGCAATCGGCGGGCTTCTGAAGATACGCAAAGTTTAGTGTATAGGGCTTAAGCTCTCGGGTGCAAAGATAAAGCAGCTGAATTTCTGAAACGCTCTGAGGCAGACCTACTGAGTCAGCTCGAGTCTCGCGTTGCTCTGCTCCATATGGTTTAGGGGTTGGACTTCAGAGGGTTAGGGTTTGCGGTTGAAGTGTGGAAGCTTGGACTGATGATTCCAGCTTGCAAGCCCGACAATATGTGCCAACACCCGCTGTAGCCACCCCCTAGACATCCGAACCGGCTTTGAGCAGTAGTGGTAGTACGGACACAGTATTCTCCTCGAGCTGACAAGAAGCCCACAGACATCATGGCCAGGTACTGAAAGCTCTTTGAAGAAATCTTCAACTTTAAATCGGCATGAATTCAAGGTGTACTTTTCCCTGACACAACAACCAGAACCCCATACTTTCTTTCAAGCCCTTCAAGTCTGGGCCGCACGCCACTCTTCCCACTCGCTCATGGTACACTCCACAGGAACGGTCTGAGATGACGAAAGGATTGAAGGCATGGTAAGACTGTTCTGGGGGCTGAGAGCCTATGGATATCCATGGGTAGGTAGAGAGAAAACTTGGGAAGACCGCCATCGATTCCCTACTTGATTCCTAAAAGCAGTAAGTCGCCTGTCAAATACAACTATCTTGCCCGAAATGCAGTCAGCAGCCAGGACCCTACGTCTCAATGCTGTGTGTTCCCAGTCTTGTTGACGACGTCAAGAAAGGGGCGTGGAATTGCGTAGCTTACAGTCAAAGTTGTAGCCTCAGGTTTTTGTTGATTCAGGCTTTGGCTGCAAGATTCCACATTGCGTATGGCAAGGGTTGAATACTTAAATGGTTGGACTCTGTGAAACAATTGCTTGCCGCAAATCACTGCAACGTGCATGCACAAATGCGGTCAAATTCTCGGCTGCACTCGCGACATGTGACATCCGCTTCAGACGTTCAACCCTACGGCTGTAGTATTGACCAATGAATGCTGCTAAACTAGATCTCTAGAGGAGAGAAAAGCTCAGCTGTTTCATAGATTCACTACTGCACAAAGCGAACAAAAAGTGAACGCAAAGGCTCCATCCTCAGCTCTGAACTCTCAAAGGACGGGGCACAAGCATGTGAAGCGGAATCAAAGCAAGCGGTCCCGGTGCTGAGAAAGAAAGGGATCACCAGCAGTAGCACTGGGAGTGCTCTGCACAGGAGCCCTGAAGCCCCTTTGACACCCTAAAAGGTTGCTCTGCTACTGTCACGACTTCTGTCTGATTTCCATTGTTGTTCACCATGACTACGCTCCTCAAGTAAGCCCCACTACCACTCCTTATCTCCACTTTACATTCCTATCGCCCTCAGCATAGGATTTCGAGAGCTCTTTCTGGCAGCAACAGCGCGAGCAGTGAATCCTACAGTCTCTGACCATAAGACCACAGATAACCTTTGACTCTGAAAATTTCTGAACGCTCTTAACCCTGAACCCGTGTTACAACTGTTCCTAATGACACGCAAAACCTCAGCTCCCCCAAGCAAACTTACTCGTTCTGTCACTTCTGCACAAGCTGCCTTGGCCCTAGACCCTACACACGTTGCTGTTCATGGACCCTTTGAGTGCTCGGCTACAGAAGCCGACTTCTTCTCCCGGCAAGCCGCCGTCTCCTGGAGCTCGGATGGCTCTGAAAGGTGCAAAAGCAATTTGGGCTTGCGATGGCTTGCGGCTTGGGGTCATGACGGTCATGAGGTTATTTCTTCGGGCTCTAGATCCAAGGCTGAAGGCCAAGGGTTTTTTTCTTTGCCAAAACCATATCAGCGCGTGATGCGATGACGGACGAAGGTGATCTGGTTTTGCGATGCTCGCAGTCATGGCAGTGCACATGTCCTCCTCCAGTCAAGTGTTTCTTTTGCACTGCGCTTTGTCCGGGCTTCTCTGAGCAGATGCCACAGCATGTGAAAGATAGGTAATGTATAGTAGCTTGCAAATGCCTTTGGCACGAGGGGCGTGCTACACCGCCACACCAAGCCCTGAAGCCAGAAGCTTGCGGGTCAGAGCAACAAAAAGGTCTGTTGGTCCGATTGGAAAGGCGCCGATTAGCAAAGCCCTTACCGAACATCCCTGATAAACTGCAGTAGTTTTGGCTTCTCCGGTGATGACTAACATCATGAAAATGAGCGAAACCTGATTAAGGGCTTTTTCGCGGAAGTTACTTTGTGACGGATTCACGGGTTTCAGCCCCAAAGCACCGCAGCACTGCAATTTACAGCACTTCATGGCTTCCTCTGAAAATCCCCTCAGGGCCCGGGACCTACTACTGGTAATCATCGTCGTGCGAGTAGAAGCCGGAGCAGGAAAAGCCTACGGACTCCTCTCTAGAAACCCTGCACACTCCTTCTACAGCTCAATACAAACCCTGTAAGACACAAACAACAAGACTCCCATCGAACCCTTTACCCTGTTGGTTGCCGCGGGCGGTCCGACACGCCGTAGCTGCAGTGACCTGCAAAGACGCAGAATAGGCTTGTTGGCAGAGAGTTTGCAGCTTAGTTTCAGGATATTTCAATTTCAAAGGCGTCAAGGATCCGGAGTGCAGTTGTAAGGCTGTATGGTTTCGAGGCTGCAAGGCTGCTTGGGATTTGGCCTCACTAAGCCCCCGTAGCCCATGTCACCGGTCCTGACACATTGAAATCCAAGAACCCTAAAACCCTAAGCCGTAGCATTTCGACGCACCGATCCCGAATCATTCCTCCACCTAAAACCTGCACCCCGAACAACAAATAATAACGTGCTAGTAGCTAGAAAGCGCCCTGGAAGCGAAAGAGAGATCACAATTATCGTCATAATCCACGTCGGCTTGGGAAACAGCAGGAAAAACTTTTGTTCTGCTACGTCCAAAGTCATCTGAAGCCCTCAAACCCAGAAGACCATCTAGGAACCTGTGGCCGTCTTCTCTGCTTGCATGGACCTTAAGTACCCCAGTATCAGTTGCAAACCCAGTCGCTGCCTTCTCCGGTAGCCGGCTGAAGCACGGAGCGATCCCGGAACTTCTGGTTCTTGTCTCCGCACCTTAGGCAACTTAGAATAGGTCAGGAGTGTTTCAGGTGGAATGAGCCTGGCTTCGCAGCTGCAGAGTTGTTTCTGGCACTTGTGTCCGCACCGCAAGAATTTGTCTGAGGTTTCCCAAGTTGAGCAATGAATGTCGCTGGGTTTAGGATGCGTCTATCTTCCGGAATCAAACTCTACTTACCCCCCTATGCAACCACAAGATACCTCCACAATCTCGAAAAAAGATACCCCTTCTGTTGGATGAATTTCTTACAGCCCAACACCATCCCAGTCATCTCTTTATCTGCCCAATGTTCAATCAATTATGGGATTTCGTGACGCCAACCCAAACACTGGAAACCGAAGCGGTCCCAATTGTAGGGAATGGGCGTTCCCAAGCCTCAACTATTCCCAACCTAAAAGCCCAAGGTCTTAAAGACCCAAACCTCACACCTCTCAACCCCTTTATAACCAAAGACCTCCTGCTTCTGCACCCCGGAATGCAGATCCTGAGATGAAATCCTAAGCCGAAGGTCTGCTATGTCCAAGATAAGCCCCTAATCCCTAAAACCCCAAATGCAAAAACCCAAGAAACCCTAGGGACTCTGAGCCCTAACAGCTACTTTGAACTCCTCAGGCATTTTTTCTTTCCCCGGAGAAGCTTCCGAGCGCCCGGCGAGGTTTCGTCCCAGGCGCTCCATGGGCCCATGACGCAGTCCTCAGACCTTCGTAAAGTTTGGGAAGAATTGAGGCTTAGGGCTTAGAATTGAGCTTTAAGATTTAAGGCTTAGCGGCTTAGATTGTACGAGTAGGGTATAGGTATCATATACGTAAATTCATAAGCTCAGGCTTGAAGGACGGAGGCCATCAAGGGTTTCGTGTTTGGGGTTTGGAAACCTTTGTGGGTTGGGGCTGAAGGTTTGGAGGTGTGGGGCTTCGAGTTTAGAACTTTGGGTTCGGGGCGTAGACGGGTTGAGGAGTGGAGGGTTTCAAGTTTGCAGGGTTGAAGCTTTGGAGGTTTAGGATGTAATTATGCAATAAAGTAAATGGTTGTAGGGCTAAGCTTTAAGGGTCTAAAGATAGTGGTTCGGCGCTTTGGGTTCAGAAAGCGACTTCTGAGTTCGCTGGGAGCTTTATCAGCATATTTGCGAAACTCTCGAAGCTAGCACGAACTACAGTTTGGAGGACTGGGTATAGGGACCTTGACACCTTATTTAGATGGTTGGGCATTTCAGGTATTGGGTGTGACCCACGGCTTGGGTTTGAGGCCCAACGGCTTGGCACTGAGTTAAGGATCTTCGTCCTATCGCTGCCCGTTCGATAATAAGACTGCTGCCACAACAACCAAGTATTTCAGTGGCTTTGTCGCAACTACTTCAGCACGACTGGCATTATTGCTTGTACCACTTCCAGTCATGAACCCGACCTCTCGAAAAGCTTAGCGTTCGTACAGGTTTTGATTTAAGGACTTCTCAGCGAAGACGCCAAGGTAAGGGACAGGCATTTCAAAAGATTGCGGAGGTTATCAGCGTTTGCTTCCTTATCTTGGTGTGGTGCACATTCGTTTGGTCAGTGCCTTCAAGAATGCGCAGGGAACTTCGAAATTCTTGGGAAACAGCTAAATTGTCAACCCGTAAGCCCTTGGATTTAGGTCCAAATCTTGGTTCAGAGGGTCGAAGTACAGGGCCTAGGACCTGCTGCTGAGGTCATTGGGGTTTGGGACTCAGGCTGAAGACTTCAGGCAACAGATGGGCACAAGCTTCTGTCCTTGTCCCTGATAGGGGCTACAAACTATGTCGTGTGCTACCCCAAGCTCACTGATGTTTCCGCTAAGTCTAGGTCCCCAAAATATAACTTGGTAAATCCAGATAAGCCACAAAACAAAATCAGGGATGCTGTGCTGCGAAGATCCGCACAACGGGGGAAAAAAAAAGGAAGCCCGCGGTTCCTTGAAAACACTGCCACACGTCAACGCTATGATTCCCGCCTTCTTGCTTGCACGCCAATACCGTACACACCAGCGAAACCAAGCGGCCTAGGAACTTCTCAACTCAAAACGAACTAAGCCTGGACCCTAACCCTTTCTGGGCTCCATGCCCTGGGCACTTCATCTCATTACACGGCTGCGTCTTGCGGACGGCATCGATACAGGGCCTCCATCTTTGAGAGTACCATACGCTGACTAATGTGTAGAAGAAACCAACGACGTTAAACCTTGGGTCGAACACACCTAGCAAACAGTAGCCGTATGTGTGGAAATGCAAGGAACGATATGATGGATGTACCACTTTTCCCCTCATGCTCCAGGAACCACTTAAGTTTTGGGGTTTCTTATGTAAGCCCAAGAACTGGTGGCCATTCCTCTGGTCCAGGCCCTGATCGTCGAAGTGGCGACTCTACGAAGTTTGCGGGACATATGACATATGAAATGAAAGCATATCATTCCCAACAAAACCGCCACCAATATTGAGGGTTTCTCAAATCAGGTAGGTGTACCCGACGCAACGCAGGAGATTCTCGCTGGCACATAAGGTCTCATACAGCAGGGAGCCTAGAGGGCTAATCTTTGACACAGGCCGGGCACTTAGCAATGATGACGGTATCCTTGACAATCGTGGTGAGGCTAACAGAGGTGAAACAAGAGCCTGAAGGAGCCATGAGACTTCCTCAGTTCAAAAGGCAAGGTCGCAACCACAGCACCACCCCTGTTTCGGCCCTTCATGTATATACCCATCATCTTATGGGCACGCGGAGCTAGCAGTGAGTCTTCCTCATGGCAATCGGGTTGAATGCAGGCGATGCTACTACACAGGGCTCACTGATGACAAAAGAAATGATACCCTACAAACAAATTGAATAGGAAGGGTTTGGGGGTCGATCCCTCAAGCATTCACGCTACTCCTTGCACCCTAAGTGCTGCGACTGAATGTTACATGCCAGCCCTGAACGACCTAAAGAGCAAGCCTAGCCAGCGGGTAGGAAACACCCAAGAAAAGAATCAAAAATTTAGGCGCTCAAAAGATGCCTCAGTATTTCCCCAAAGCTATCACAGAGGCCCACGATCCCGAAGCCCCCATGGCCTGCCCAGCACGCCTGCACGTTGCGCGAAACGCCGCAGCGACGCCTTGCTGCGTGGTTTCACAGTTTCACACGAGCAGACTGTGGGCTTCAAGGGTCGTGGCCGTGCACCCCAGACCCCAGCCGCCCAAATTGAGGCAGGGCTGGCTCAAGCGTTTTAACGTCTGAGAACGGTCAGGGGGTCACCAATCAAGTTCCTATGGTCTGCAAAGGAAAATGTGGTCCAGTACCCTCACAGAACTCTCTACGCCCTCAAGGATTTGCGGCCAACGCGATTCAATCCATGGCACAAAGACAGCAGATCTGCTGCCATATCTGACGATTCCCGGTATGAGCTACAATGAATATTTCTTTGTCTAGCTCATGGAGTTGTACTCCTAACAGTGAAGATACTGGAGACTTAATGAGACTACCAAAGGGACCTCTATGTCCGCCCACCACTGACAGTTGATCAACTGGCTATTCACTAAAACCTCTCATTTCTCGAACGGCTATTTACTAGATCTCTGGTGACTCCATAGCACTAACTTGCAGCGAGCGTAATGACCTTTTGCAATGTCCAGTCCTGTTAGACAGCCCCTCCCGCCCAACATCCATACCACGAGAGGTGCCCTCACTGCAAGTAGTCTAAAGGAGGCAAAACAACCTGTCACTCAAAATCGCCGAGCCCTGTATAACCCCGCAAGCACGCGGACAGAGCAAAAAAGAAAGATGGCACCCAACAACTGAAAAAGTTTCAAGCAATCCTATTCTGCTTGCTTAAGAGCTTTGAGACATTGGAAACAAGGCAATTCACAAATCTGTCCTAGAACTCCAGTGCTCTCAAGTCTATACTACCTACCCTGACTCGTCCGATCCCGCTGCCTACCCAAAACCCTCGGCCCAGAACCAAAGCCTGAACCCTCTGATATGCCAAACCCATAAGAACAATTACAGACGCCTACATACGAAATATGTTACCTGCAATATTCTAAAAGCCCACCTGCGCTCCCCCATAGCTCGTTTTTTGACGCTGATTTCGAAAATGCTGCTAGCATTTTGAGGCAGGCAAGGGGGGCCCGCATACAGTTGATGTCCATCCAGAAATACTCTTCACCCCAAAACCAGGCAACGTGCCTGCCAGCCGCCGCCGCAGGATGCGCTACAAACCGTCCACTCGCCCCACTCGGAGAAGGTGCAGGGAAGCTCCTGCTACAGCGTGCTTTGGGCTTTGGGCTGAAGGCTTGGGATAATGGACTCACAGTCAACACCATGCAGAAAGCAAAGGAAACACAAAGCAAACACTGTACCCCAGGTCCCTGCAGAAGATCTCAACATCCATAAGATGTAAGTTTGATATTCTTTGCAAGGCAAGACCAACATGTTGCAAATCAGAATCCGCTGAAGATTTACTATACATGGCCAACCCCAAACATGCGACCGTGTTAATGCATTGGGGCCCCATCCACACATTTGCCATCCCAACTCCTGAGACTCAATTCCAAAAATCTAAGCCAAAACCCCTAAACCTGTGCAAACGGATTTTCTTCGGCGCCCCTCGAAAGCCTGAAGCTTGCTTTCGGTGGACTGAGCCTGCATGGTATACCCATACTGAGCGAGATGGCCTCTTGCTAAGTCACAGATGGTAGCGACCCCGCACTGATAGCAATCCCCATGATTCAGAAAAAACGCTCCCAGAATCTCCCAGAAGCGGAAGGAATTTTCGATATACTGTTACATATAACCCCTATATAACCCCCAATATATAGCCCTCATATCATATATATATACACATACATACATAGATACCCTTATATATAATGTCCCCTCAATGGGAAGAGCCCAGAATTGCCTGCTCCTCTGGAGAGCCACAAGGCCTCGTCTCCTTGAAGCCTCGAAAAGCTCACAGCTTCTCAGAGCTTCTTCAGAGCTTCAAACAGGAAGATTACATGGAGATGTACGTGGGGGTTTCCCAAAATTAGGGGTACCATTCTAGGAGTCCTAATAATTAAGATGATTTTTTTTGGGGGTCCGCATTGGGGTCCCCTCATTTATGCAGATTACCATGTGTAAATATGTATATATGCATATTACCTATACATAAACAAATAACAATGATAGTAACAACAACAATAATATGTGCGTCCGCGCTTCGCGTTCTCAGTCCCCCCTGCCCATGGTGTGGTCCCCATCTAAGGATGAGCCATCTGTACACCCCAAGACCGACAAACTCTCCATAAAAACTGTCCGAACCTTCTTTCAAAGCCTTTATACAGCCTTACTTTTATGAGCCTTTATAAACCTTCTAGAAACCCTCTATCTCTATAACCCCTGTATGAACTCGATGGCTCCTTCATTAACCCTCTAGAAACCCCCTTGAACCCTCTCAAAAGATGCTTTAAAGTCGATGAACCCTCTGTAAACCTTCTTTTAAACTTTCACGGAACCCCTCCATCAAACTGTAAGCCTCTATAAGCCCTATCTGAACGTCTGAATTGAAATACCAAACCCAAACCACAGGACCACAGGACCACAGGACCACGGGGTCGGAAATCGGACGGGTGGGGCCCATTCCATCCATACTTGAGGGGAGGATTGTACTCTTTTCTCGACAATTTTCCCGCGAGCTTGAACCCTGCAGCCAAGACTCCGAACATCAAATCTGAAACTCCTCAGTCTGGGCCCCAAAACGTAAATCCGAACCGCAAACTGTTAAACCACAAAACCCTACTGCTGTTGCTTCTCCAAGGCACTGCCAGTACAAGGCGTACCGCCGAGGACCGCCCTGGCAGATTCCCAACAATGGCCGGCACAGCTTGCTTGCGCATAGCAAAGCCAGGTGGATGGTATTGTTGTATTTGAGGCAGAGAAGACCCTGTTCTTGGACAATACTGCAACCAGACAACCATTGCAAGACTCTAATCCTACCCAGCACTATAGTATCCCCGTATATGGTACAGCTGAAACCTTTCAGATTATGCAGGGAGTTTTGAGGTTTGTGGACACGTGTAGCTCACTTTGGATGGCTTGTGAAACTCTGGCCTCTGACACAGACAAGCTGATATGATAATATGACCTTACAGATCATATTGGCAACTGCCATAGTATCTCCATCTCAAGTTGAATTTGCAGGGTTGAACGCTACACCCAAGATCCCCAGCCCTGAACCTGAAACTCGAAAGCCTCAATTGCAAACGTAAAGACGAACATGCTTGAACTCAATGACTTAGACTGGAAGCGTGGGGCTGTACTGCCACGAGGCAGACTCCAAAATACTTGGGGTCCAAAAGCCCAACCCAAAGCCCTAAACCCAACTGCCCATAGCAATCCTACTCATATTGGAGGGATTGCTCTCGAAGATAGCCCTCATGGCACTGAGGTTACTCTACACCTGGCATCGAGCAGCTTAGGAGGCCCAAACGGCGAAACGCCTGTAAACGACCCTGAAAATGTAGATAGACCACATGCTACGCTTGAATGTCCTCCATACACTCGATGTATCAACCCTGGCAACACCCAAGAAGCTTCAGCCAGCAAGGCGGCTTCTCGACTTCCCGCGAGCGGTAGCTTTGTGCGTGGCTGAAGGGGCACCCCGTCCATCTAGGCGCAAGTAGCCAGTCTGGGATGCTTTTGCGAAAGCCCTGCGAAATCTGCGTTCCCAAAAGCCGTTCATCTAGAAACCTACGAGACCATCGTGCTGGGGAGTGCTTGTGAAGTATGAGGAGGATGATGTTGCTGACTTCTTACCGATCCATGTCAAAACAGTTCACCTGGAATTTTCAAGAATTTCCTTGCCTATCCTGTACACCCACAATAGCCACCAACCGTCTCGAAAGCACAACCGATTGTACTCGTTGAACTGGGAAGCACAGCTACGAAGATCACAGAAGGGAGACTCGGAGCCCGCTACAAAGCGAAAAGCCAGGTGCTCCACTCGGTCCAGTCTGTGAACCTCGGCTCTCTGAGGGCATGGCGATCCAGGGTGTGGGTTCAGGGTGTAGCATATGAGGCTTGGCGTTCGATATCTTGCGTTGAGGGCCTTTGTCTTGTCCCCCACTTGACAGACCTGCAAGACTACAAAAATTGGAGGTGGTTCT